TGACATAATTAATGTTGAAATATTGAATCCCAACACGATGGCGTGTATTTCAATACTTGGAGTATGTATTATACTTTCTTATCTGAGATTAATCAGTGGACCTTTCGGTTTTTGGAAATACAGATATCTCATCTCACCTGTGAGAAATCAGGATCAGAATTATTTTCTTCCCCTGGGATGAGCTTGTCAAGGAAAGCTGCCTTGTCAACAACATCTGTGACCTTGCGTAGGTAGATCTTGGCTCCGACGTAGTGCTTCTTCTCCTCTGCTTCCTGTCTATCTCTCGCAGCAATGCACTCAGAGCAAAAGTCTACAAAAAGCCATATAGCCAAAACAACATGGTCCAATTAGGTAATGTTTAAAGTGGTGTTCTCATTCAGCATCATTATTTCTTTGTGAAATGAATATTCTAATAATTGTTAAATTTTTTTATTTTTCAACATTATAAAATACAATACAATATTTATTGGATTACACTTTCATAACAGTGGCACATGTTAGACAAAACCTAACAGTGCATCCATAAAAGAACAAAATGTAAGCAACAAAATATAAAATGAAATTCATCTACAGTGTTCATTGAGTACTGTACTGAAGGTAACTTACCAGGGTCAGATTGCACAGTGTCCATAAGTGTCTCTTTATCTTTTATTTTAGTCATGCAGATTATTGTGTTGACAGGGTAGCTATTTACAAGAACAGTCCACTCCCACGGCCATAGTAAGCACAAACTAAAAATAAAAAACAATTATACAGTTTTACTATCAGTAAAGCCAAACAATGGCTGCTAACTATATTATTTCCCAAGGGATTTTATACAGGCTGGTTCTGTTAATGAAAATGCGACTTCAGAATGAAAGACTATCAAATTTATAAAAATAAAAAAGAGAAAAAAATCATTGATAGACAACCGGACACCTACAACAGACATATCAGAGAGGCAATTTGGATTCGGAGATGAGGATGAAACACCATCAATCGAGGATGAAGGCGCACACCAACTAAGTCACATATATGACTCTGTAATTAAACAGAATCGACCCTCTAGAGGGCAGTCTGTTTAGTTACAAATCATCATTCTTCTGAAGTCAAGGTAATTTCAGCTTTCAAGTTTAATTTTTTGGTTTTAAAAAAAGGAAAAGAAATTCCTTTTTTTAAAACCAAAAAATTAAAAAACTTGAATGCTGAAAATTTTTTGGTTTTAAAAAAAAGAAAAAATTCCTTTTTTTAAAACCAAAAAATTTCAGCATTCAAGTTTTTCAACTTTTTTAACAAAAAAAAATTCTTTGGTTTTAAAAAAAGGAAAAGAAATTTGCAATCGTTTAATTACTACAAACCAGACAAATATTTACAATCAATAAAAAGATAATTTTAGAAGAAATATTCAAATAGGAGGTATGCCTGGATAATAGTTAAAAAACATTTTGACAGATTAGCTTTAAGTTTATTTCATTAACTCCTTTGTTGATAATTTTCATAATTAAGGGTACAAGTGTATTGTAATTTGGGAGTAAAGCTCACTGAAAATTCACTGCCCTTCACAACACATAATGTCAGAGGCAGGGAGTTATGGTGATGTCGGTAACAGTGAATGTTAATGGCAGCAGTAATGATGTCAAACACCACTTACATTTCTTCAATATTCTCGTCTTGAATATCGGGCTTGACGAGTAGAAGACTATGCGGGCAGAGGAAGATGGAGTTATCAATGATACTGGGTCTCTCATGACGCAATGGCTGCTTCACAAAGTTACGCCATTCCTCCACAAACAACTTGCTTATGAAAACCACCTCCCGTACGTCCTTGTAAAAGTTAAAATAAAAGCGTTAGTTGTAAATGATTTTAGGAGAAGAAAGAGATCTGCAAACAGAAGGTAAATTGTTTTCAGCTACAGTGCCTACAGATTTTCTCTAAAAAAGTACTCAAAATTTCATAAATCAAGTCATTTACCAGCAAAATTGTTTAATTTACTTTTTGATTGGGAAGACAATACTAGAGAAAGAGAGTATTGTTGTCCCTAAAATTTTGTTACAGGCTAAATTTTAAAATCACATCGAATATCATACACTCTCCAGCTGTTTGATTTGTATACTGTACTATTTACACAGTCATATTTTATCATATCTTTTTACACAAATCAAACACATTCTATAGTTTATACCCTCTAATTTATCCCATACTATTAATCAAATATAATCCAATGTGTACTGTGTAGAACTACCACCTAGTTAATTAACACTAGGCAAGTGACACCGTAACAAGTAACACATATTTCACTAACATGGGCGACGTAACATGTGGGCAATTAAACTTAGTTTAATACAATAATAATTTTTTAAGCAATTAATATTGTAATGATTTATTGGTTCTCAAGAAATCTTTAAAACAAATTTTATCAAACTATAAACACCTTATAATGTACATCCAACGTTCCTAAATATTTATTGTGATACCTCTTTATCCCATTGGGGACGGTTCTTATCCAAGTACAATTGCAAGAGGGCAGCCTTCTGATCTGCAGCCAACATTTTGTTGAGGCTACTCACTTGCTCATCTTCTTGGTCAATTTCCTAACAATAGCAAAGAACACAATATAGATATCTTATTTTTAGAGATTTCTGGTGGACACTGGTGGACATAATGAAAATAAATTTTCCCTTAAAATTTCCAATTTTTTACTTTTATTCAAAATGATGATTATTGGCGGACGGCGGGTTCGCAAGGAATAAAAAAAAATTGGTCTTAAGGGCTACAACATAAACGGGTTTACAAAAAAATCATAAGGTAGATAACAGTATTCATTTCTATGATGAAGAAAACATATAAATAGATATACAAATAGACAGACATCCAGAGAAACGGGCACAGACAGTCTAACAAACCATCAAACAAATAACATATTTTAGACTACATGTGAAAAACATTGTCTACCTACCATACATATGCGACACATTTGTTCATCATAGTAAAACTCTGGAGCATCAGGGAAATGTTTTTTCAACACAGTCCAAGCTGCGACTGGAATCAGCCTTCGTAGACTTGCATCTGTGCTAAGATTACCTGTAAGATGGATATACAGTAAAATATTAAGACTCCCCATGCTAGCGAGTAGAGGAGTGTTCATATGTATCACCGATTCTATATCCAATGACAAACGTAATGAAAGCACACAGATATTGCTATCATGTGTCAAGTCGGGCACTCGCTACATCTTATGAAAGTCGAATCCAAATCCGTTCTCTGTCAGTGCTAGATGACGCGACAGTGTCTGCTGTTTGTCGGTGGCAGCATGAACAGATTGTCATGAAAAACGATCCGTTGCGCGCGTCGTTGCGTTGCGTTCTTTATAGAATCACGTCATTCACATTAATCCCAGTTCTTAGTATCAGTTCTTTACAGTACATGAAGTGAAGTAACAGTACCAGTATTATACTCACCATGAGCACAAACAATTTCACTGTTGAATTCTTTCCTCTCTCTTTCATCTTCTTCATCTTCATCTTCTCCAGTGCTTCCTTTATTTTCTCTGAGAGTATGAGTATCGTCTGATGGTTCTAAAATAATTGGAATTATTTGTAGAATCTTTTCTATGTGCATGTTTATGGTGATATAATTAGGGTGTTAGCAGAGTACTGATGGGACCTGATGTGTACAGTTAATAATACCAACCTTTATCAATTTCTGAAACAGAGTTTTGGCAAGTGTCTTCACCCATACTCTCTAAGTTATTTTTGTGCATTGCAAGCCTTCTCCAAGCCCTTAGTGATGCCTTTCCAACCCAATAACCTTCAGCTCTATGAATTAAAAAAATAATGAAATCATTACGAAAAAACCAAACAAAAAATTGATGAGACTAGCTGATACCAAAACGTATCAAATTTATAATAAAGTACTATATGCCATACCTCATCATATTCAATGAGAGTAGCACATGCCACAGCTCATCACTTATAGTAAAAGTAGCACATGGCACATCTGATTATATACTCAATGAGAGTAGCATATATGACAGTGCTCATCACATATAAAAGTACCACATGCCACACCACATCACACTCAAAAGGAGTAGCATGCGCAACAGCTAATCACATTTAATGAAGAGTAGCATATGACACAGCTCATCACATTTTAAAAATAGCCTGTGCCACACCTTATCACATTCCAAAGAGTAGAATATGCATAAATTATCACATTTAATAAAAGTAGCACATGCCTCACCTCATCACTCCCGAAAGGAGTAGCATGCGCAACAGCTAATCACATTTAATGAAGAGTAGCATATATGACACAGCTCATCACATTTTAAAAATAGCACGTGCCACACCTTATCACATTTTGCACAAATTATTACATTTAATAAAAGTACCACATGCCACAACTCATCACTCCCGAAAGGAGTAGCGTACGCAACAGCTCATCACATTTGAGGCATGTCGTGGCGAAATGGTTAAAGTTGTCACACAGGCCAGTATTGAGTAAATGAGCTATAAAATATGGGAGCTCAAAAAATTGCCTAAAAATCTAAATTTTTTTTTCACTATAGATCAACAGTTTAATGTCTTATTAATCATGTCCCAAATCGTTTATTTAATGTTATTTAGATAGTTAATTCTATTAAACAATGTATGCACGAATAACTTTGAAAGGCAATTACTCAAAATCATGTTTATCTTGACTCTTAGAGTGCTGTACTTAGGCTTGAAATGTCCAATTTGAATGAATGATCCCTCATTTTAAAGATCACATACTCAGGTATCTGAAAATATCAATAACTTGAATTTCAATTTTTGCTACAACTTAGCCATTTTGCCACAACATGCCTCATTTAATGAAAGTGGAGCATGCCACAGCTTAACACATATAATAAAAGTAGCACATGCCACACTTCCATCTCATTCAATGAGAGTAGCACACCAAAGAGGTTTTCACGTAAGGTCACTGAGATAGGTCCAGAAAAAAAAATTATGAAAAGGTCACTGAGAAAGTTTAGTACATTCATACCCATCAATTTTAACTTTGGTCAGCTCAGAGATTATCTTACTGTCATCCTTAAGTTTAGCCTCCAATCTGATTTTACTACACCTCTGTTTGACACAGGGCATACACAAGTGATCACCACACAGTCTAGGTCCTCCCCCAAATTTGGAATATATCAGGTCGGCCTACAAAGACAAAGATAATTCATTGAATAATTTATTAAAATTCACAAAAATATATATTTATCAAATCATACAACAATCATAAAATGTAACATAACAAATAAAGAAGCAGAAACTATTCATAAAATATATTTTTATTTTATTCCTTTAGGCACATGGCCAAGGATTACCAATGGCGACTTAATCACTGTCCTACTACAGGTGGAAATCCCTAAATGAAAAATATACACACTACAGTCTACGTCTCATAACAAAGCTTATAGAATAAAGTTGTTTTGCCGTAAGAAAAAATTCTGGAATCTGACAGGATTTGAACCCAGGACCGTGGGATTGAAAGCAGGGTTCGTACGTTTTTAAACAAGCAAATTTCCAGGACAATTCCAAGACATTCAAGGTCAAACTTTCCAACTTTCAAGGACACAATATATAGCTTAATAGTAAAATATCGGCGATTTTACGACTGATTATAAAACATATATATGCTGTACTACTTTTAAATGCATGTTGAGTGTATACTAAAGTTTTATCAAACTTTAATTCGGAGGCGATGAACCTGTCTCTTTTTCTCACGCTCGTGGGAAATTAAGTTTTTCTCACACATGTAAAATTTGATTGTAAGCAAAGGAATTCCCACGAGTATGGGGAAGTACCGGTAAAGTAAGGCAGGGGTGATTGCCTACAGTGAAGTAGAATTCTCCCCTCTGCAACATAAATGTGCGTGCACAACAATGGTCTTATCTTTGCTTAAACGCGACAGTTTCTTTTGTGGTACTGGCGCACCCAAATAATTTGGTTCTTTTGTGGCGCCGCGGGGTGGGTTACCGCCTGTCCAGGGTTGCTGTTCAGCAAACAGCTGTGGCGAAGTTGATATGTATATACAGTAAAACAATATAGCCTTCGATAGGTGTACGTTGCAGAGACGTTAATGCATCTCATTTCATATAAATATTTAGGTGTTTATAAATGTTGTATTAAATGATGTACTATATTATTAATTAATTTAATGGTCTATTCTCAACACATCATTATACTATACTGTATTATTTATTATTATTCGTTACTATTGGGCATAACATTATTATTAATATTTAGGTCTATTATTAATAGGCCTTAGTTGTAGGCCTACAACTTTATATAATCTACTCTACAACAAAATGTTAACGTACGGCACCATCCTACCGGCACTGATCTGCTGCCGACCAGCATTGTTTTTCAATG